TAGAACAATATATATTTACGTACAAATAAATCAACTAAAGGCCATCAACCATAATAGTTTACCCAAATTCTATAACTAAATCAATCTAATTCTATCAATATAATTTGGCCTATTCTAAATCTATCTTCTACAAATCTCTTTCTTAACACAACCAAATTAATATTACCATACTTATTTCCAAATTTTTTCTCCTTTTATCAACTTTATTATATAAATTATTAACCATTCTATATCTCTCATCAAACCACTTTTCAACAACCTTCTTTCTTCAAAATCTCTCTATCTATTTTAGGTCTTTCACAGTTTCTCTTAACTTTTGATTACTCTACACCAAACTACTATTCCTTCTATTTACCTTACAATCTAATCAACAAATCAAATAACCAAACAATTATTTAAATTGATTTTAGAAAAATCTTAACTTTAATCAATATACATAATTATACTTCCTCTCAACTACCTTCTTTATTACAATCACAAATAATTTTATTATCCTATAATACCCAACTCATTCAACAACCTATCCATTCATTAATATATCAAAAATAATTAACTGATCTTAACTACCTTATTTTTCAACTTGATACAAATAAACTACATTTCCATACTAATAGATCAATCAAAAATCTTCAAACTTCAGATGTAAAATCTGGCATAGGATGGATTTGCAAATACAACATATCAATAAAATTTAATGCAGCTATACAATCCTATCCTGACTCAACTCGTATTAAACTTAAAGCAGTTCTTTATCTTTTACTTGCAGCTTCATTTAACATCTCTTTAAATATCTATATTGATAACACAATTGTTATTAAAAATCTTGAACAACTTATCACTCCCAAACTTATACAAACTAAAAACTAGGATATCATCCATTATATTAACCATTTTTAATATTTTAAAAACATTACTACCACTTTTCATAAAATTAAATTATATTCTACAGACTCATTTCACAACCAAGCAGATTTACTTGTTAAACAAGAAACCTCAAAATCTATTATTAAACTTAATATCTCAAAATTCAGTACTCCAAATCATTTCTTATGGAACAATCTTCTAATTTTCTTTAAAGTGTACACTTTTATTAAAAACATTATACCTATTCAAGAAACTGCCAAATGGTCAAATGTAAAATTTTTTCAAAATATTACTAATATTAAATAGTTTCTTCTATTCAAAATTATCTTCTTTTTTGAAGATAACTTACAAAAATACTCTTTTCGCATTAAAATTCTCACCAATAACTTACCAACTATGCAAAACCTTAATATTCATTATCTCTATCTTTATACTATATCTTATTGTTCCCATTGTACAACTATTAAAGATACTCTTTATTTGTTTTCATGTCCTAGCAATATCACAGATATTCTACAATCACTTAAAAACATTATACATGACACTTTTCAATCACTCCAAATTACTAACACAATCTCAACAACTCTATTAAATATTTTTTTAAATTTTACACTTTATTTCTCAAATTCTTAATACAAATATATTTAATATACTATTACTAGAACTTATTCTACTACTATATATAAAAATATCAAAATACTTATCAATAAACAAACAGATACTTTTCTATTTTACCTTTCAAACAAACTACTTAACTGGTATTACCAAGATCTTTGATCTATCTGTAATATATATCAACATCAATAAAAAAACTTTCGCAGCATCATTTCAAAATCCAAATATACCAAAATCAATTTATCAACTCTATCCAATTTTTCAAACAGTACTAAAACTCTCTCTCAACTTTTAAATACCAAACCTCTAATCACAAAATGGCTTTTACAAGGATACTCTCTAACAACTTGTATAATTTAATGTTTAGACAATTACTTGAAGGTTTCCTCCAACTTATCCTAACTAGAATCTAATTTGAAATAGTTAGCTATAGTATAATATAGGAAATAGGAGATGTAATGTCACATTGGATGCTAATTATAACACAAATATAGTTTAAAAATCTTTAAATTTAAAACTTATGTTTCTATATGTAATAAAGTTTTTACTTGAACATTATTTAATAAAAAAAAAAAAAAAAAGATTTATATAAGAACTTATCTAATATTTGTACTACCCAATGTTGGTTTACATTCTTTTGTATAAACTATTATATAAATATCTTATAACTTGTTAGTTATGAGAATAGTGATCCTAGTGTAGTGGTTGGGTTGTTATTCTTCAAGTGGCAGGTCTAAGGTTCAAATCCCACCTACAATGAAATTTGGTAATTATATCTGTATTACGATAAACAGTCTCTTATTGATTAGTTAGATTTAGGTATCTGTAATCTTGGGTACAACCAATCGAGTTCTATTCATCATTGGGAGCCTGGGGCATCTATTTGAAGTGTAACCTTATATGTATATAGAGGAACGTTAATAACTAGTGTCATATAAGACTTCAGTGCAAACCCACAATAAGGCCACTAGATGTAGAAGACCAAGAAACCAAGGAGATGGAAGCCCACTTAGAAATTTCTAAGTAAAGAGTAGTACAAGCCTTCAACAGTGCTATCAGACTGATGGAAGCCCAAAAAACCCCAATAAGAAATAGGCGAACATGCAACTGGATGGAAAAATGTATAAAGGAGCATATGACCAACCAGGTCACTGGAATCATCGGAGAAAAAGGATACTAAGGTATACTGTATTGGGCTATCTGAATTAGGAGTCTGGAAAGTCTGTCAGATTCTGAGTTAAATAGTAGAGAGATGAAGAGAAGAAATCAGAATGATAGGTATCAGGATTTGGATGAACTTTACAAAATTAGAAATAGTATAATGTAGTGGTTAAACAGGTAACTCCTGTAACTGCAAGTGTTGGGTAACTATAGCATGTTATATAAAACTAGGTCAGCTGTGTGTGAAACATAGAAGACTCTAGTAACGATGCTTCTGAGGATACACTGCATGAAATAAAATATGAAGTTCTAAGAGAAATAGGTAAAAGTATCTAGACCTTCTTGACTGATGACTGTATCAGAGATGTCTAGTAACACAGTAAGGATTGCAGCACTGAGGGTTTAAATAAGCAATGCTCCTAGTTGGGTTGCAGGTATGGCAGCTAGTGTAGAACCATTAACAGACTACTTAAATTAGACACCAAAAGTGTACATGTGACTAGTTGTATTCTCTAATATAAGATAACTTCTTTGAGGCTTCAGCTACGAGTCCCTATGTCCAATTTACTGAATAAAACCTTAGGCCCAAAAGAGGCTAGTTTAATATCAAAAAAAAAAAAATAACTTGTTAGTTATACTAATATAACTGCTATTATAAATATCTTAATTTAATCATTAGAAGCAGTTACTATAATATAAATATTATATAGATGATTATCCAAATTTTCATTATCGATAGAATTTGAACACTCAACTTACTACTTGAGAGGTTGACAACTTATCTATTTTACTAATATTATAAATTTTTAAAAAATGTTTACAATAATATAATAAATAACTGTATATACAATTAAAATTATTAATAAAGATATGAGCAAGACCTTACCTTAATACAAAAAAAAATTTATAATAAAAATATTATTTTTATACTTTCTACTATATTGTAATTTAGATCAAATGTTGGTTTAGAAAAAATAAAATAGTCTTTTAATTGACCTCTCTTATTTCTTAACCTCAATCTAATTGAATACCTGAGTTAAAATTAACCATTATCTTAGAAAACTTTCTACTACTAGAAAAAAACCTTTGGATGATCTGAAAAAAAAATGATGTCAAAATCTACATAAACCTGGGTTGTTCAATGCCAGATTGAATTTGTGATATAATTAAAAGGGAAGGCTACACTAGGTGGTAAAGAAAAAAAAAATTAAATAGAAAATTTTTTTTTAATGTAAAAATTTTTTATTTTACACGAGCAAAAATAATGCAACACGTGAATTGGAATAAAGCTCATGCTCCTGAAAAATTTAGTTCATTAATTTTTTTAAAAAAAATATATTCGCAAAAGCGATTCTATTTACGGATTTATGAAAAAAACATAATCCATTTCGAATTGCGTGAGATAATACGTTCTAACGATTTTTTTTTGCTTATTTATAATCGCCATTGTATAGCGCTATGTAGTGTTTCGTAGCGTTACGTAGCGCTACTAATGTTCTAGACATTAGGGTTACATTACAGTTGTCTATCACATGATACCAAATTACAGGGGTTAACAGTACTTAGCGCTAGGTTTTCTGAAAATTACTTATATTGTGTAATTAAACTGCTACATAACATAATAATCGTATTCGGATCACTTAAAAATAACACAATGTGTTGTACAGCAGATAAGTGCATCATGATTTAAAATTTCTTCTTTTGTCCTGATATGCATAATTCGTACTACGTTTGACAAGATGTATGGGTTTTAAAGTACACACGAAAGAATACGAAAGAATGCAACGGATCGTTTGATTGGACTCTTTACACTCGAAAGTTGTTATCGTGTTCTTTACCGCAATGATGTGAAATATGTTTTGAGGGATATTATTAAAGAAAGGAGTCGCAAAACAAGTATAGAGCGAGGAGAAACAATAGTCTAATTTGAATAATAATTACATATATAAATATATTTATAAATCAATATATTTTATATGTTAGTTAATTATGCGATGCAAGAAAATGTCACAAATTTACATACCATAAAAGGTGACGCACTACTTTTATTAATTGATTAAAAATAAAACATACTGTAAAGGGAGAATTTCCATTACTAATAGATTTTTTAAACTGTTCATGGTAATATAAAGCCCTATTATGTATAACATGCAAAGAGCCAAAAACATACCGCCTAGACTTTAAGGTGGCGGAATGTGTGTGCCGTTTCTTTTATCGTCATAATCATGTGATTATTACAATAGTTTTAATTAAAAATGATCAATTTTTTCATACGCTTCTTAATCTTCTTCTGGGACCTTCTTGTGATAAATAATTGTAATGCACCATTGATAACATCTTAGTGATTTTAAAAATTAACCATGTCAGACTCTCCACAAAAGAAAGTTGTATCCATCGATACATCCCGTTTTGAAGAAATTCGGGCCAAAGAGGGGTAAGTAATAAAATTGTAAAATAACTAAAAATCGCGATATTTTCATCAAATGTTGACACTTTTGAGATAACTTGAACATGTTTTATGTTTCGATGACTTTTAGGAAGGCAAAGCTTATAGTTCTTGTTGTTATTATACTCTTGACAGCTATTTACGGAGGTAAGCTTTGAGCAAAAGAGTGTTTACATACACGTATATTTCCTATATATATATTTATTATCTTGTCTTTAAAAATTCAACTGTGTCGTAATCATTTCGTGGCTTAGCATGGAATATTTATAGGATGATCGAAGCAGTAAGCTCACCAGTCGTTTCCCTAAGATCCGTCATAAGGTCCAGTATACCGGTAAATTAATGATCAAATCAATTTCTTTTTACTCTGACCTTTTTTTTATTAATCAAATATTTATCGTTATTGTCGTTTAAAAGGTGCCAGGGGTTGTAATATGTGGAGTTACTCTTGATAGACCTGTTTTGTGTTACAAAAGCGCTTTCAACGCCGCAGATGATAATTATCAATTGGTACGATATTATCACAGTCGGTTAAGATGAATTATTCTTTTCCTTAAAACCTCTTATTATTATTTTTGAAAAGGGAGCAAGTTGCAATGAATATCTAACGAATAATAGGATGGATGCTACAAAATTTATTAATATGCGCGGATTTGATAATCTAACACAGCAATATTGTTGTATGTGAACAAGATTTCACCAAAATCATTGATCAACAAGTCAATATTTATAAGTTATTTTTTTATAGATATTCTTAATCCTACTAAACCCGTTAACGGGTCATCTGGCGTAGATCCTCTTGAATTTGATAATTCTACACAGAAGATAGCACTCGCATTATGGTCGAGCGAGGCTGCAAATAACACGGTAGAAATCATGATTGATTGTTTATGAATTTATGTTTATCTGACATTGAAATATTGAAATTTAAATCTTACCAAATTTAGCTAGGCGCTATTACACAGGACAGATGGTTCTTTTTCGGAATATTCAATGAACTTGAAGATCCGACGTTAGTTAAATTTCAAATTGTTAAAATGGTAACTATTACTATGTATTTATTATGTTAACTGTTATGCATAATACACTAAGATAAATTCACATTTTATGCAAAACTTTATAGCCCTCGATCTCTTATATATATTTTAATAGGATCGAAAAATACGATGTTGTAAAAACCGATGCAATAACGGGAGGTGGTACAAGCTCGGGTATACAAACTCGGCCTGGAGTTGGAGCAAATATTTTATACGAACCTGCATTCACAAGTTTTGCTATTGAAGGATTTCAAGTAGATTCACATCTTTGGGTACTTTTTAGGATTATTCCATCTAATTATGTAACTAATGCAAAAACAAATACACAAGAATATCCTGTAGAAATTTGGTATAGTCGAGTAGAGTTCTCTCTGTTCCAACTAGCAGCTAATATGGGAGGTTTTGTAAGCATCCTTAGTGCAGCATATTTTATTTTGCTAGGATCACGAAGAGTCAATCCTTGGGGTGTTGTACAGCGTTATGTAAGAACTTTATGAATTTAAAACTTAAAATTTTGGCATTTTCTATAATTAAATATATATTATATATTTTTTAATAGATTCTTAAGTCGGTCCCACCACCCCCAGAATTTGGTGAGTTTGCATCCAAGCCCTACGCAGAGAATTCGAATATTCATTCTCAATACGAAAATGTAGATAATTTCTCGAGTAATTCGTTTCATCGTGCTTCAGGAACAGGGTATCCCCCGTTTGATACACAAAAGCACCAAGAAATGGGGATGGCGGTACCTTCACAATTCGATATTCCGCAATCGCCAGAACAACAATTACATAGAGAGTATATGGAGCGTTATATTGAACCATTACCATCCCCAGACATGGATGATCCAAGAATACAAAAAATAAGAAACGAATTGAAAGCGGAGGTACAAAGAACAATTGCTAATGAGCTAGCGAAACTAAAATTATATTTAAGTAAATATTATCTTAAAGATGTAATAAAGATTAATTAATAATTATCTAAATTACTTGTCTACACATGATTAAAAATTAACAATAATAAATTCATTGTGTTTATAATCAATAAGTGCTACTACTCTAGTTTTCATAATAAAAACTCGCTTTTTTTTCATTTAAAAAATTATTCAATGTTTTTTATACAGTGATAACTTCACCAATGCATCCTGAACATCTTCCAATCTCAAAATCGCCACTAAATTGAGAAAATGAATATCGTCGGTTTGCACTATTTGGTGGTGATAGACTAGTACGACGAATTGAATCGTCCTGCTGATTTTGATCATTGTTAACCGCATTAAATCGTCGACCAAGATCACGCGTAATATTGCTACCCACTAGAGTAGTTCCGTTATTATATCCTACATTCTCTTTTAATGAAGTCAACTCGCTCTTAATTTTAGTAACTTCTTGTTCCAGTCTTGTAGCTTTTAATCTTTCTTTTTCCACTTCTTCTGTTAAATTTAATTTATCATTATTTATTTCTACAACTTTTGCTTGTAATTCAGTCAATTGAGAAATCAAGTTTCGATTATCAGATGATAAACCATCGTTTTTTGTTGTAATATCTTTAATCCGCTTTGTCAACTTTGAATTTTCTGACTGAGAAATTTGCAATTCCGAAGAGAAATTTTCATGCTCTCGATGCAATTCATCCACTACAGCTATTTTTAATTTTAGTTGTTCATTAACTTCAGCAAATTCATTTTTCAAAGCTTCGAGCTCGCTTGATTTCTCCTCAAATTGTTGACTAATTCGATTTTTATCATCAGTTAACGATTGGATTTGATTGGTCATAGACTCGAATTTTGTCGTAGTTTCACGTGACTCACGTTCTATAACCAAGAGCTTGTTTTCTTTTTCAGAGAGCTGTTGCTCCGCATTAGTTGACAGATGTCGTAGATTTGATAATTCGATTTCAAGTGCCTCACATCTATCTTCTTTGTCTTGAAGAGCTTTTTGTAGTGCTTCTACTTCATCAGATACAGAACGAATGTTGGCCTTTTCTGCAGTGAGTTGTTCGATTATTGAATCTTTATTATTCAATTGAGACATAAGTTGCTTGTTATCCTTCTCTAATTGCTCAACACGTGTATTCTGAATAATATTTGAAATTAAAGATCAAAGGAAACTTGATTTTGAAAAATAATGAGTTAAACTTATTAATGGAATAAAAAGAACACAATACCTGTGATTGTAATGATTCTATTATATTTTTTTTCTGTTCATCTGAATCTTTCAATCGGTCCTCACCGTTTCGAATCTTCTCTTCCAATTCACTATTCTGACGCCTTAAAGCATCGACTAATAATTGACCCTCTTCCAACAACTCTTCACTGCTTTTAAAACGATCAGCCATTGCAGAATATTTTTCTAATTCTGATGCCAATGCAGTCTTTTCTTCTACAAGTAAAGCGATGGTCTGCTGTTGCATACGACATATATTGGCAAGCGCTTCGAAAGTAAAAGGTTCATCACCTGATATACCAGGAGATATTGTATTTTCAATAGGAACAGAATCAATTGTATTTGATATATTTGACAAAAGGTCCGTTTGAGATTGTTGTCCAGGAGGTAACGTGATTGGTTGTAGACCTTCAACTAAAGAACCGTGTGATGTTAAACTGGAAGCCGAAAAATGAAGAATGAATTGCGTTAAATTTGTAGGATATACCTAAAATAATAATAATTATTATAATTATTGGTAATAAAAAAACTTACGGTAAAGTTTGGCTTGCTGGTACTTCACTGTTATTTGATACAACTTCGGCATTTGTATTATTTTCGTCAATAATTGTGTTTATCCTGTACCCAATTATGAACGATATTAGCGAATCGAATAATATATACTAAAAGAGAATTTATTTGATTTTCGTTTTTTGTCATCAGTATTAATAATATTGTTATCATTGCTCTTATCAATCTTAGATGTTCTGTATTTTTTTTTAACTCATCATTCAACAAATACTATCACTATTGCGAGATTTTTGCATGCTTAATCAGATCCTAGCATACTTAAGCAAATAATGATATTTGAGTACTTACTCTTGGCCAGTTCCATCAGTTCTAACGCTTCCGGAGTCCGAAGTTACGCTGGACCTTCTGGTACTTGTTGCAGCAGTAGATTCTAAACTTGTTCTACGTGTTGAAGTCGAAGAGCCATCAGTAGAAGCATTTGTGGCTTTTTTCTTCTGATATTTCCTGAGCTAAACATAAGGTTAACCTAGAATTTGAAACCAATTTTCAATAAAAAGAAAAAAAAACCACCTTCTTCTTGGCTGCCAATAGTTTTTCTTCCCGCGCAGCTTCACTTTCCATATAGTCAAGTTTTTAGGAATCCTTTTTATTTCAAATGGATAAAAAAAGGTTGTAGCTCTTGAAAAATCAATTAATCACATGAAAATCCAATAACGATAATGATTGGCGTGCTTTAATTTGATTTGATTAAACAAAGACAGTAACACACCTGTTTATTATAGGATGACCCAAATGCATTTAATATAATCCGGATAAGACAGCAGCGGCTAAATTGGCTTAGTCGGCTAAGCCAGCAAAAATCATTTAGTTGGCTGGCTAATGCGGCTAAAGATCACACGATTGTAAGTTGTAAAATTCCAAGTTTCGAAATATGTGGCTTAAAACATTATTTTTATGGTACATACGTATGTATATAGATCCTGTGAACATGAGGAACATTTGACGAAAAATAAAATATTGAAGTTTGGATATACATTAGTTGCCCAGGCAACTGATTTCTGCTTATGATATTGCGCAAATCACAAAGTGACAAATGATCAATTTGTATTGATAACGATAATTCGTAAAGAGAAAACCTTATGTAGGCATCTTAGGTAAAATTGTTCGGCATCTAATTTTACATATAACTATACATATTTTTGAATCTAATCCTAACCTTAATATGTATAGGGAACTATATAACCATTATACCGGGTATGAGTATTAAATTTCATTCGTAAAACTTGTTTTGGATTTAGGGTTAAGAAAATTTTTTGTCAAAATATAAAGGTCGATGTTTGAAAAAACCTGCATTCCACCAGTTAAAAAACTTGAATCATACCCAGGGGCAGGGTTGGCATCATTGGCTCCATTCGCAATTCCATTAGGCTCCATTGAGCTCCATAGGGTTCCATTGAGCTCCATAGTAATAGGTAGATTTCCTCTTGTTAGGTATAAATTACTAATCAAGAAACTCCGAGTCTCTTAAGTTCTTAATCTTGGTTTAGACTCATAGGAAGACATTCGCATGATTGGTTAATTTTTGTAGATCTACCCGTGATTTCCCGTGATAATTAACAATTAATATTACGGTTAATAAACCCAACTCAATACAAAAAATATAACCAAAAACCTTGGCTATTAATTTACGGTTGACAAACCCAATCACACTACAATAACCGACCAAATTTAATCTTAAGCCCGGATCTTTTACTACTAAAGAGCTTGCACCTACACAAATTAACAGTTAGAAATAAAAGTTTATTTAAATCTAACGTAATAGTTTTAGACGAAAACGTTTCTAGGTACCTTTACTATACAGTATAATTTGGTATGGCCCAATAAACGATATGTATATATTGTCTTCTAAGTAAAGTTCATAAGAATGCTGATTATTACTGAATAGTAAATATAAACGTTTTATCGAAGCGAAAAATGGTTTACATCAGCCAATCAGACGAATGTCCTCTGATTGGCTAATTTTATAGATCTACCCGGGATCACCCGTGATAATTAACCATAAAGAAATTTAAGAAATTTTATCGTTATTAATACTATTACCAAGAACCTGACATAAAGAGACATACAAATCGATAAATACACACAAAGACTTCATAAATATATTTAGAAAATAAATATAAACACGTAAAGCAGTTTAAACTCGAACTTATTATACAATTACTATATATAGCCTGAAGCTTAATTCTGTAATTTATAGTATTAAACCCAAACATATTACAAAATCAAATATTAAACCCGGTTCTTTTACTATTAAAGAGTCTACACCTATTCAAATTAAGTAGTTAATATTAAAGTTTACTTAGATCTAACGTAGTAAAGCAGCAGTCCGGTTAAACATTTTAATATATACTACTGTTCTGTGTGGTCCAATAAACGGCTGTATATTTTGTCTTCAAGGCCATGTGAGCCAGTTTTGGGATCTTTTTGGCATAATAAATGTTAACACCTCTAAAGTTAATAACGATGCCTGCGTTGATTTTATATTACGTAGTGAAGCATTAAGTTCAAATTACTTTAAAGTGTATAAATAAGTTACCCGAGCAATTGGCTTACATCAGCCACTCAACGAAATTCCTTCTACGTATACATTTCAAATTTCTTTTTTGGTATTGTATCACAGTGCGGTGGGAAATAAAATGCAATATGAACTTTTTCAGTAGGATCTTATACCTAAAATGTTAAGATGCACGCAATGATTTGATTGATTTAATGCCGCGTTAGAAATGATCACGTGCTGTGATGCAGCAACGCTTCGAGAAATTTTTTTATATAAACCTCCCCATTTCGACTCCTTTTGGTTAAAAAAATGCACTGGTGGGTTTTTACAATGATTAAATATTTGATGTTTATTTTGCATTAAAAAATTTCGATGGTTTTAAGTATCGTTTGGTTATTTAATTATGGATAATGTAGATCAAGTATTTACTGTTAGACTATAATTAGGTAATGTTAGACGTTCGTTCGGCTAAGGAATATACTTTATGCAAATTTTTTAAGTTAGCGTTATTTTCATTTAGTATTAATTACTTAGTTAGGAAAATTTATGCATTGAAAAGAAAATAAGCATTACCAATGTAAGTATAATATAAATTTAACAATAAATTTGATTTTTTTTTTTTTTGGTATTAAGGTGAGGTTTTGTTTGTATTTTTATTGGTAGTTTAAAAGTTAGCAGTTACATGAAGTTGCTATATACAAAAAGTAATTTTTATATAAATGCTATGGTTAAAACCAATAT